TACACCTATCTATAGAGTTAATAATTTCATGTTTTTCAAATTATTGTTTTAGGTTTGTATTTTTGATTTGATTCTTATTTATGTAACAGAAAAGAACAAATCTGACTCCACATTAAATCTGTTCCTTTGGCTTCAACCCTGTGCCCTGTTTTCTAGGCTTCGTCTTGCTGGTTCTGCACCTTCTGTAAAAGGATGTTGCCTTTAGCCTGAAATACACAGGAGAGCCTGTTCTCAAGGCCCTGACCTTTAAGGATATTAAAGGATTTTGCACTTATATAAAGGTAACAAGCTGCAGAATGGAAAATAATGTTTGTTTTGTTGGAGGTTTACATGGATGCCGTGATCTGATCCACACAGACAGCTGCAAGAACAAAGGATTCCAAGAACAAAGAATTCCTACACTAAGACGTTTGCAACAACTAACCACACCCCCCTTTCTTTTCTAGTATAAAAGGAGCCTGAATTCTGGCTTGAGTAGGATGGTTCTCTAAGACATTAGTCTGCCATCCTCTCGGTCTGCTGGCTTTCTGAATAAAGTAATTATTCCTTGCCCTAACACCTTTTCTCCTGATTTACTGGCCTGTTGTGCAGCAAGCAGAATGAGTTTGGACTCGGTAACATTTACAAATTTTATTTATCTGCTGAAACCCCCCATCTTTTGATCCATTAAAAACAAAATAGTAACCATAGTTATTTTTGTCTGTGTCTGATAACTCTGCAATTGAATTATCTGTGAGTCTGTTTCTGTTGTTTATTTGTGTTTTCCCATTATTTGTTCAAACAAGCCAAGTGTTTACCTTTCCCAAACCTATTTTACTGTTTCACCTGCTATATTCTTCTCCTTTGCACTTAATTTTTGCCTAGTTCACTCCCCTCATTCTTATAGTCTTAACTTTGGTCCTTATATCATTCTGCAAATGTGTGACAGTATTTTACTTGAAGGCTCATTAAAATATTATAATTAAAGATCCCTTTCCCAAGTCTCCAATGCAAATTCTCTCCCATTATTCTGTTTCATAACATCTTTATATTTACTATACATTATAATCTATGAATTATGTATTAATTTTTGTTTCTATTCTTAATGTCCGATTTCCATGCACCTCAACCCCCATTTTGCCATGTTTTATGTTATCATTGTCTCCTCATTAGTATCCTATCATCAGTCCATTTTTTTTCCCTTTTGAAAAGTTAGTTCACTGGTTAATAAAATGAAACACAGAAATAGTCCAGTTTTATGTGTCTATAATTTAGTACAACTTTTGCTGTGATTATATTAATAACATGAACATTATCTTAATTTACACATTGGGATTAAAAGTTTTGAGTATGTACAGTAAGATTCCTAAATTCAGCTGAACACATAGAATAAAATATTTTTCTTTAAATTTTTAACAAGTGATTACCACTTCCACCAGAAGTGAGGTTCTGTTAAATTATGATCGTTAAATTGCAAAGGGAGAAAAGGTCATTCATTTTGAAAAAAGATGATTCGAGATTCCTCTTCATGTTGAAACTGAATTATGTGCATAATTAAAATGTGTCCTGATGGCAAATTATTTCTAAGCATGTGTGCATACAGTGTGGTTTTTAGAGCATGAGTGTGTGTGGGAATGTGTACAACATGAATGCTGTCGGCTTTTTTTGTTGTTTACATTAATGAGTAAGACAAAAGTGAAACAACATAGACATAAGTTAGAATTTCCCTCCTTAATGACATGAGTGATTTCTTTGCTCAATCAGCTAATAGTTTTCAAGTATCGGAAGGATGTGTTTCAATTTTTGTGCTGTTTATAATTAAATGGCTACAGATGCAATGCACTTCTAAGTTTAATCTGTATTTCTAACATTTCCTCTATCACTTTCTTAAGTCTAGACCCTCATCAAAACAATAATTCACACCTTTTGTTTTTGCTGATTTCCTTGGTGTAAATACTCCTATCACGGTCAGTTTCAAATGATCAAAGTGAGGTTACTGAATGCTCTTTGTGATAACAAAAACTCCGATTAGATCCTTAGTTCATAAAGTCTCAATTCAGTAAATGAAAGTACTAAGTCCATCCTATTAAGTATTACCTCATATGTCACGTAAAGCTGAAGCATCCTCTGCCTGGTCAGCGAGGACCAGCTGCAGGTGGGCCATCCGCCACCGAGAAGCAAAGGGGAAGTGTAGCCAGTTTCTCCCATTCTTGCCCACCTCCTCCTATGCTCAGGTACCACTGTTTCTTACTTGCCCAGGAAACTTTTTGATTGACTGGTACAATGATAAAAAGGGTATCTGAGCATAGCAGAAGTAAAACAATATTTATCTTTCTCGTGGACACACTGATTGATCCTTAATAGCCCCATTAAGAATAATGGGCCAAATTTCCCATGACAGGGATGGCATATTTTTCTTCATCAGCCTTGATTGGTTTCTGTTTATCTTTGTTGCTGTTGTTTTGGTTTGGTTTGGTTTGGTTGGGTTGTCTGTTTTGACAGTGCATTTATACAGATCCTTCTGTTGGGGGAATCACCAGGATTTTAAGTGGCTTGAAGCAGATTTATTCTCTGTCTCAACCTCTCTCTCTCTTTCTCTCTCTCTCACACACACACACACAGAGCCTACCTCTCTTCCTTGGAAAACACTTGTTCATATTTTTACCCAGACAAACTCCGAAAGTGGAAGCCAATTCCAATACTCATGTAACTCGTTTTTGCTCTGGCAATCCCATTTCTCAACTTCTGGATTTCTCAGACAGGAATCATATACCATTCTGTGATTCTACACTCACTGCTGGAAACACAGATCTAGCCCTTCAAGTAGCCTGTAGAAGCCCCTTGCACTACGATTAAGCTGGAGCTGACATCCCTTCCACTTTCTTTCGGATGAAGTGTGTGTGTGTGTGTGTGTGTGTGTGTGTACACACACATGTGGTAACAGACGGACTTACCTTTCCAAAGAAATCTTCCACACAATATCCTTTCTTACTCTCAACTCTCTGGATCCTTTAATATCCACACCATGTGTTCAAGACAACTGTAACTAATTGTTGACAACATTCTTTATAAATTCTACACATGGTCAGGATCTCCTTTGGAACACACATGTATCAGATCACAGTACTTTAAACAAAACTGGCACTTTAGCTGGTTACTACACCATAAATGTGGGTTAACAAGAGATTTTTTCAGTCCACTATCCAAAGCTGTTATGATCTCTTTTATTCAAGTAAAGAAAAAATGTATATGTACACAGGCACATACACACATCCCTATTTGGAAAAAATGAAAAAAAAACTCATCATATTAGAAAAAATAGAAAATACAAATAAACAAAAAATCATAAAGGATGAAATGTAATACACCCAAAACTAACTTCCCAGAAAATCTGCTCTGAATATTTTATTTCGTGCCCACACAAATGAAAATTTGTACAGAAATAGACCCCATGTCCCCCCCTCTAAGACCCATGTCCTCACTCCTGCTGCGTGCACGGCACTCATCATTGCCTCTCCGCAAACACAAGCCATTTCACTTCCAATGGCAGCATATCTTCTAGTTCATGAATATATTAACTTCCTGAACTAATCCTCTGTCACTATTTGGGTGCGTTTTTTTATTTCTGTGTAAACAACACTACTGTAAACACATTATATGTGTGTTCATGTATGCTTACCTCCTTAAAAAGGTGTATATACCTTTCATTAACTTCTCTTGGTGCTCATTTGCATTTTAGTAGGTACTAAACCTTAAACCAAAGGAATGCATTTCAAAAACAGAATTTAGATATCAGTTAAAGAGAAAAGGATGTATTTGTTCCAGGAGAAATCTTTGTAATTAGACAATTGCCCGATACTGCTTACCCATGTATCTGAGCTAAATAATATATGTTATTCATATGATAAGCCCTCCTTACTTGTTAATATTTTGGTAAACAATCTAAAATCAAGGACTATTTATTAAAATATTCATTTCTAGTGATCCACAGCAATCTTCGATGCTTATGTAATATTCATTTAAATTTCTCACACCTGCTAAATTAGGTTAGCAATCTTGTCTAGCAGTCTTTCTCTGTATTGTATTGGTCCTTTGTTCTGGATTGTTCCAAAAATCGTTGCCTGCCAAAAGATTATGAAATAAACAAGAAGAGAAACAAAATAGAGGCCATGCTTTATTCTGTGTTTTCCAAAGTTTAGTACAAGTTCAAGGGAGGTGTATAGCTTTTTAAAAAGTACGTATTTCAGGATTATATCATTTTATCCTTTCTAATTCTTAGGCTACTTTGCAAATTTAGAGAAATCCTATGATGTAGAACTCACGTGCTTTTATTTTTCTCGAATGGCACTTTATGGTAGCCGACTTGCATAGGGAAATGTTTGCATTATAAATGTAGGTGAGTTTAAAGGAAGTGACTGCAGTAAGGATGTCAACCTGCAATCTGACCCGCCTAACATTTAATCTCTCTTAGTTAACTGCACGTTTGGTAATATAATATTAAAAGGTAACTGATTTAAGGCTAAAAATGTACACTTCTTGAAAGTAATGCTCTAGACTGTTCAGTATAATGTGCAAAATTGCAGAATATATTTTGTTATCAAAAGCTGAGATTTTTAAAACTAGACCTAAATTTTTAATGTAACTATCCTTAAAAGTGATATAATTACATTTTTCCTTTCTCAGTTTTCTTACCAAAAAAAGCCTCTAAATAACTAAAACAAACCAACATCAAGAAAAATAAAACTGAAATCACTTCTGTTGTTGGAGAAAAGGTAATACATCCCCTGTGATATATGTGGGGAAAAAAATCAGGTCGAGGCAACTTTGAAACAACTATTTGAATGATATTTAGAGGAGCAGTATTTTACTTAAAATTTGACATCACTGAATGGAACTCCTTGGCAGAAGCCTTTCATAATATTTATTATTGGAGAGGGGGAAAAGAAAAAGCGATCCTGTGCCTTTAATTTCCCTTCTGAGCGAGGGAAGGCTGCACACCAGCGACAGTCTCACTTGCTCCCCTCTTTAATGTGCAATCTGTTTTCTCCAGCGGAGGGCACTCAGTGTATCACAAACCCAAGCATTAGCACCAACAAGCCCTCGGCGTCATCCGTCTCTGGAAAGCCTTCGGAGCTAGACAAGGGCTGCCTCCCAGCACAGCCACAGAGCACCGGCAAGCTGGCCAGCCGAGCGGGTAAACCTGGCCCGCATGGCTTTTAAGCTGGGGTCTCGGGCAGCGAGGAGGCCTGCCGGCTTAGAAGAGCTGAAAATGCACAGGATGAGTAGCTTTTTCTGAGAATGGCAAAAGCCGGCTCGATAAGGAATGCCAGGTACTCTGAAGATTTCCTTTCTTTCTTTTTTTTCCCCCCCTCCTCTCTTTTTCCAGAGAAGTTGGTCACCCCCGAGGCGGGCTGCCGCTCTGCTGCACAGACTGCCAGGTACTGCTGACAAGTCCCTGCTGAATTACGCGAGGATGCTCAGCGCCTAGAGGCCCTCCCACCCCCGGCTGCTCCGTCTCCCGGCCCCCCGCCCCAGGCTGGGGTGTTTTTTTTTTCATATATGTATACATATCTCTTGCCTGTCCTCTCCGGGGAAGTTTGTGTGGGGCCAGCAGCGCCCATGCGGGATCAGAATGGTGTGAATGACAGCTGCACTGTGTCATGAAGGGGCTGGTGGCTTCAGCACGAGACACCAAATAAGAAGAAAGCTGAGAGCAGCGGGGAGCCGTGTTTGGATGGCAAAGGATGGGTAAGTGAACTTTTGTTGTCTCCTTCTCAGCAGAGCTGAGCCTCTTGGCTTCCCGTTCTCAGCGATGGGCAGGCAGGCAGGCAGGCAGAGAGCGGCAGCCTCCGACTTTGCCACTTGACTCTCTGTAGTTGCTATTGCATTTCTGGATCGTTTTCCTTTCGTCTTTTTTCTTAAATTTTATTTTGAATCTGTAAAGGCATAACACGGAGTTAGACTCTGGAGAAATGTCTCTGGCTGTCCCTTCCGTGTGCGTGTCCACGGCTTGGGCATTGAGCGTGAGAGAAATATCCTATCTGTTTCTATTTCTTGACAACATCACAGTGCTCGTGCTGCTGGTCGCTGTGGGGAAGACTGTTAACACTTCCCTGCGTGTGTGTGTGTGTGTGTGTAGGGGTGGGGTCACCGCTTTATCAGAGGTCGTACAAGGGCTTGCTTCGTCTTTGAAGCTGTATCCTGAACACAGCTTCCAAATTGCCAACAGTCATTTGCCAGTCTTGCTTTTTCAAGTGCGACTGGCGTCCCCTCCGCCCCTCCGTTCTCCTGTCTGGGAGAGCTGGAGTGTATTTCAGTGAGGCTGTAGCTGGCAGGAAGGCAGAGAGCAAAACCAGTTTTCAAATAAAAAAATCTTAACTGGTTTGAGTTAAAAAAGGAGAGCTTCCTTTGTTTTTTTTTTTAAATCAGGAATTTGGCTGATTGCCTCTTGGTTAAAAATATGAACATTTAAGATTAATTAAGAAACTGCATCACATGGCACTGTGTGGTTTTTTTTCCCTTTTCCTCGCCGCTGAGAAATAATAAATCTACTGTTGACAGAGGAAAGCAGTCCCTTAACACGCTATGACTTGGAAATGCAGCCTAAGTGCCAATAGATTGCAGCTTTGCAGGCTTTCTGAAGTTAATGGAGGTAGGGGAGAAATAAAAACTCAGTCAGTGAGAAATCTGAGCAAGTCGGGGTGGAGGGGGTGTCAGTCTGCTATCTGCGTCCTTGATTATTTCCATTTGCAAATGCAACTGGTTTAAAAATAACAGAGAAAAACTAATATTCTCCAGGACTATCTTACATTTCATGCAAGTGTTTAATCAGAGTTGCACAGCCGTAACTTGGGGGTGTCCTGTCCTGCCAGCAGTCGGACTCTGAGCTGGGGCCCGGGCAGGAAGCTCCTGAATGCCGAGAGCCTCCGCGCTCGTTCCCACTCTGAGCGCACCTTGTGCCGTGACCAGGCTGCGTGCCCGGCTCCGCCGTCTGTCCGCACTGGTCCCAAAGCCCTTTCCTCCCGAGCTCGTGTGCTGTTATCCTGTTATGCAGTGAGGCTCCAGTTTCAGGCAGGGCAGCTTCCCTTTGCCACATCACAGCCTCTTTGCTCAACTGGGAAAGATGCAGAAGCACAGGGCTTACTCAGTCGCATGTTTTCCCATTTCCAGGAGACTTCATGCTCGTCCTTTCGGTGCTGGCGTTCAACAGTGGCCAGCCAGAGGTGAACGTTATTAAAATGTCAGCATGAAGCATTAAGCTAGGCTCGGGGTCTTTTAGTGGTGATGCGTCTATGAACTCCTGAGACTCAGGGGGGCTGTTCTCAGTTCTCTGGCACGGTGGCGATTTGAGAATCAAGGAAAAAAGAATGGAGCCTAAACAGGAAACATGCAGCTATGCAGAAAATAAGGTTTTAAGCATCAAATACATTGCCCTTAAAGCAACTGTCCTGTTCCTACCTAAGAGGTAATGCCCCTGATTCTGACAAGGCGGTGGTGACTTACAGCAACAGCTTTACAACGTGCGTTTGTCTTTTTTTTTTTTTTTTTTTTTGATGCTGTAGGTTTCCGTTCAGTTACGCAGCTGAGAGGCATGCGTGTGGCGCTGGCGCTGCTCCCCACCCTGCTGCTTGTGGCGCCCACGGGGGCTCAGAGAGCTTGCCCAAAGAACTGCAGATGTGACGGCAAAATTGTGTACTGCGAGTCCCATGCCTTCGCAGACATCCCCGAGAACATTTCTGGAGGGTCCCAAGGCTTATCACTGAGGTTCAACAGCATTCAGAAACTCAAATCCAATCAGTTTGCCAGCCTTAACCAGCTTATATGGCTTTATCTTGACCATAATTACATTAGCTCGGTGGATGAAGATGCATTTCAAGGGATCCGGAGGCTGAAAGAATTAATTCTAAGCTCCAACAAAATTACCTATCTGCACAATAAAACATTTCACCCAGTCCCCAACCTCCGCAGTCTGGACCTCTCCTACAATAAGCTCCAGACACTGCAGTCGGAACAATTTAAAGGCCTTCGGAAACTCATCATTTTGCACTTGAGGTCAAACTCACTGAAGACGGTGCCGATAAGAGTTTTCCAAGACTGTCGAAACCTTGACTTTCTGGATCTGGGCTACAACCGCCTTCGGAGCTTGTCCCGAAACGCTTTTGCAGGTCTCCTGAAGCTAAAGGAGCTGCACTTGGAGCACAACCAGTTTTCCAAGATCAACTTTGCTCATTTTCCACGTCTGTTCAACCTCCGCTCGATCTACCTGCAGTGGAACAGGATCCGCTCCATTAGCCGAGGCTTGACGTGGACTTGGAGTTCCTTACACAACCTGGATTTATCAGGGAACGACATCCAGGGAATTGAGCCGGGCACGTTTAAATGTCTGCCCAACTTGCAAAAACTGAATCTGGATTCCAACAAGCTCACCAACATCTCCCAGGAGACCGTCAACGCTTGGATATCGTTAATATCCATCACTCTGTCTGGAAATATGTGGGAATGTAGTCGCAGCATTTGTCCCTTGTTCTACTGGCTTAAGAATTTCAAAGGAAATAAGGAGAGCACTATGATCTGTGCGGGACCTAAGCACATCCAGGGCGAAAAGCTCAGTGATGCCGTGGAAACATACAACATCTGCTCCGAGGTCCAGGTGGTCAACACCGAAAGATCGCACCTGGCCCCCCAAACCCCCCAGAAGCCTCTGATTCTCCCCAGACCCGCCACCTCCAAATCGGACCTCACCCAGCCCACCCTGGAAGCACCAAGCCCTTCCCCAGGGTTTCAGATTCCTGGCACAGAGCAAGAGTACGAGCACGTTTCATTCCACAAGATCATTGCAGGGAGCGTGGCTCTCTTTCTCTCGGTGGCCATGATTCTCCTGGTGATCTATGTGTCCTGGAAACGCTACCCAGCCAGCATGAAGCAACTTCAACAGCACTCGGTCATGAAGAGGCGGCGGAAAAGGACCAGGGAGTCTGAGAGACAGATGAACTCCCCTTTGCAGGAGTATTACGTGGACTACAAGCCTACAAACTCTGAGGCCGTGGATATATCCGTGAACGGATCCGGGCCCTGCACGTACACCATCTCTGGCGCCAGGGAGTGCGAGGTATGAACCGTGATCCTCCTAAAAGCGTTTCCGCCGCGGGGAAGGAGAGGTAGATGCTTGACGCGCTAGAGGGGTGTCTGGTCGCTAGAAAGATTAACGACCCCTTTGCTTTTGGGTTTTGCTCAGTGTGAAAGGTTACCTAATTAAATTACAACCACCAGAAAATTGACTGCTTTTTTTTTTCCTTTCTTAAATGGTTGACACTTGAAGGAAGTTCATTCAAGGATGGGATTAAGTTGGAATAAAGCATTATGTTGAAACAGCTGTTTTTTTTAACAGTTTGTATACAGGGGTTGGACTTAACAAACACGTATCCACACAAATGAAACTCTTTTCATTCTAAAGTTTATGTCCTGATTCTTGTTGTCTGACTTTTGTAACCGAGTAAAGAAGGAGGGGCCAGCCTAATTTAACAGCAAAGCGAGTTTTACCAAAATTCCAGGAGGTAATGAAGATTTAAACCAAAGAGCAATCTACCCAAGGGTTGATTTTGTTGTACATTTTTGGTTTTAATTAAAGCATGCAACAGGGGTCTCACAGGGACAACTGTTTCCGTGTGACGTGCCAGTTAGATATTATACCAGCGCGGAGAATGCCAGGCCTACTGTGCAACTGTATTAAGGCTTTCGAAGATGTCTTTTTTCCTCCCTTCCTTCCTTCCTTCCCTTCCATCTTCCCTTCTTCCTTCCTTTTTCCTTCTTTCTTTCCTTTGCTTCCTTCCTCCTTTCCTTGTTTATCTAATTACTGGACATAGCTCACTTGTCAAAGGTTTTCCTGAGTGCTGGCTGTATGTGTGTGCTCAGAATGGAACTTACACTTTGTGTTTTGGCTTCGTCCCTGGGAACTGAACCAGGTCACGGTGTTGTGGGTTAGTTAGCAGTAACAGGACAGGCATGACGGGGACTGCGTGTCAGTGCTGCTGTCGTCCACACACACATGCTGTGCATTCCTGATAAACTAGTCCAAAACCAAGCGATGCAGATACTCACAAATGCAAAGAGAGAGACTGGGGTTCTGAGTAATCTCCCTTCTGTAACAGTCGCCTCAAATGAAGGCATTTCTATACTATCCTATTTTCATTTTAACGAGAATAAGATTGGAGTCAGTGTCTAATCGTTTAATTTTCAAGACCACATCTAGGAACATGTGAATAAGTAGAAAAGTAGTCACAGATTTCCACCTTATCCATAAGGAACACTGGATACAGATCATTCTTTACTTGGTGAAGTTGATCAAAAACTGCCAAGACTGTGACTGGCAAGGCCTTGTTAGTAGAATAAATTAGTGAAGACAGATCAAGCACTGGCTCTGTGTCATCTTAGTACCCAGTTTCACATGTTGCTTTTTCAAAAGAAAGTTTTAATGAGTATTTAAAGATGTTGCCCTTTTTAATACCAGTTGTAACAGTTGAATAATATAATTTGCTTTTTGATAATATTTACCCACATCTTTCCATAATCCTAAATGCAGATGCTAGCGAAAACATTTTCAGACAAAAGCACTGAGTTTTAAATAATCTCCAACCCGGTGTAATTTGGAACAGCGAGCTGTTCTTCACAAAGTTCATTTTCTCTTTTTTATGTATGGTTGAAAATCAGAAAATCAATCCCAGATAATAAGTCCCTAAAAGAAATCTGTATAAGCAAATGCCTTTACAAATTAAAGAGAATAAACGGTTTTATATAAAAGTCTAACAAGGCTTGATGTTTTAATTGCAGGCTGACATTTATATAATATTCGTGAATATCAGTAAAACAAGTTCATCTTGTTTTATTTTAGATTCTTCTTATATTTTGAGATCCTTTTAAAGGCTAGTAACATAAAAAGAAAAAGAGAGATAAGTTCCCGTCATTCATTGTCTCTTGGCGTTTGTAGTAGAATGGTGATTTTTGTTTACAAGAATCACCAAAAAAGAAGATTCGTGAAGAGCTAGGACTTGAGAATGATGGTTCTAAACCTTTTATAGAGATCTTAAATTACAAAGATCATCCTTTAAGGACCCTCAGTATTACCATGATAGGAACAAAATAGAAACATATTTCATTCGATAAGAACGTGTAGTATATGTGTTATTTAGTGGTGTTTATGGCCATGAATTGCTGTGACATTGTTGGGGATGAACGTGCTGTTACAGAATTAAACAATGACCAGTTTAACTAAATGTTACAATGAAGCTATTGAGTTAAACTGGTAGACCTTCCTGAAGGAGATCAAACTGTCCGTGCCCTAAAAAGTAGAAAATGGTAGGCGATCGATCTAAGGTCATTGACTCCACTTTCGAGCATGTGGGGTCCAATAAAGCTACATTTAAATAAACATGCACTTGTTTTGAAACACAAATGCACAGAAACAAACACCGTGGCCGCCACTCCCCCTTTTATCAGTGTGTTCACTGTATTACGGTTACAGATGGATATAAGAAATGAAGAAAGGCAGATTCTTAGAAATTGTCATGAAAAACCATAATTTTCCCTTACTTCTCTTGTTTAAAAAACAAATTCTCTATAAAATGAAGCTGCGAGAAGAATGATTTACCCAAGTTTATGAATTTTTAGAACAGTAGAGATATGCTAAGTTTTAGTCTGGTGGTGTTTTGACAAACCTCACAAATCAATAGCCTCAAGAAATGCAGAATGACTGGTATATTTACAATACCTTTTTGTGAGGTAGTTTTTTATTTTTTATTCAAAACACCAAGCTCTACCCAATAAAGCCATAAATATTTAACTAGAAAGCTTAGCACCAAATGCTAATTTCCTAAGATAGTGCCTTGGAAGATATTGCATTAAGTTGAAAATTCCACCTATACAGTTGACGTTACCTGCCGTTATCATGATCTAATTATAGTTAAAATATCCATTTTGCCTATTTCCTTTAACATTCCTCCTTAGAATGATGGCTCTGAGACACCACACATAGAGAGCATGCAATCTATAAGTTAAATAATTTTGGCTCTATTCTTCACAAGTCTTTAAATTTTAAAAGTCCAGTTGCACACATTACATGCTAATAGACTGACGGAGAATATTATAATAATTTAGGAAGTGAAACTCTCTTCTAGGTATAAAAGAGGAGTAGAGTAGACAGGTATGAACGATTAATATGATATATGGCACAATGCCAATAGATACATCTGGGTCATCAGACGTTGAGTAGATCAGTGTGCTTGGTTGAACTGAAATCATTTAATTTGCCCTCAGTACCTGTTCAGGGGAGGTAACTTAAAACCAAAAGGACACAGCTTTATCTACAAGTGTCACTAAGAGAGACAAATACATTTGAAAACAGTTGTGAAACTTCAGGTCGCTTTACCTCGTACACATTATCCCAGGAGCCATGAAGTTGCGTCACGCAGCCCACCGAAGTTTTACTGAAGGATTACGCAGAACAGAATTCTGAACATCGGATCCTTCTAGAGTAGAGTCTCTCAGATGAAACTGGCAAAGGCCTTTATAAAATTAGACTCTGTGAAGTGAGCTGCGAATTTGCCTTTTAAATTAAAAAGAAAATTGAAATTGGTGAAACCTGAACATGAATGAACGTGATCTCAAAAGAGACCCTCCATTCAGAGCGTTTTAAAAGATAAGTAACTGAAATGTCGTTTAATGATCCTCAAACGCTGGCAAGGCTGCCTCTAGGTGTGTGGGTGACATTATAGGTATATATCTATATTTTCCAAACATTTAACATTTTCGTTACACTCTTTAGAATCAAGTAAAATTTAAATCTATTGGCTGTCTCTGGGGCTTACGTTGCTTCCTTCACTGCTGTGCGGTGGGTGGGATGGACCATTTCTGACCGTTTATTTGAGTATTTATTGAATGTATTAGATCAAGTCCAAACTACTGAATAAGGAGGGTTATTAACTTCTTTCTACGTGTTAGAAATTGACGTTTTGAAGTATACTGAATGAACTTCCATGACCTAAAAATCATAATATATTCAAAGAGGGTTAAGTGAAGCAGGCCCTGTATGACAGTTTAATTTACGCTTTACTCATATAAAGCTACAGAAAACGAAGTTAATTCTGGTGGCTGTCTACTACCGTGTCTTAGTAAAGTGTTACAATTGAAACTACGCTTTTCTATGTACAGAAAGTAAATTTATGCCTTTGTATGTGCGAGTCTGTATGTGTGTAAGTATGTGTGTGTGCTTGCGTACAGAGATAGAGGGAAAGTGTGAATTTATTTCCATTAAAATTTTTGTTCGTTTGGAGCATTTGAAATATTAATGACAAAAACTTGGGTCATGATTACTGGAATTTGTTAATCAAGAAAATCCTTCTTAAGATCAATGTTTAATCTTCTCTAAAATTGTAAGTTATCTTATGGCTAGAGAGTCTAATGTTCTTTAAAAGAAACCCAGAGTTTGAACTACACATTGGCATTTTTGGTGTGTCTTTATGATAGCGCCTTCATTTCTCTGTGACCCATCACTGAATGAGCCTATTCAGCCAGTACAATAAAGCCCATCTCAAATCGTTTCTGGAATAGTACACTTCGCAAACTTTTGTGGTCGTTCCTAGGACTACAAGAACAAGATGGGATAGGAAGGAAACGCTGAGCTATTTATGTTGATTGTTAATGAGAAAAGGAAGAGCTTCTTGAGTTGCTAAAAACTGGCATGCTCAGGTGAGCAGCCGTACAGTTTCTTTATGTTTGAGGGCAAAACACGTAACAGGCACCTACACATGTGAGTGTGCGTGCACACACGCAAAAATTTATGTGCCTTTTAAATGCTCCCAAGTAACTAGTTACTTTGAAAGCACTTGAAATATGACATCTAAAATGTAGACTGTCTAAATTTGATCCAATTAAAATCCATTTGTGAATAGAATTTCTATTAGAACCTTCAGCTATTAGCGGTGAAGAGTGACAGCTGCCAGGAAGGACTGACGTGGCTAATTTAGGAAAAATTTTACACTGATAATAAAGGGTTTAATTCCTTTATCTAGAATAGCTTGTATTAGCATCTCATGAGCCAGGCTTTTAATAATTGGTTGCTTTCTAAGATCCCAAGTTGAGAAGTCTGACTCTGGTCTCAGCATGTATAGCTGTCGATACACCCCAGTAATCTTCCTATGATTCCAGAATTTTTTTTTCTTGTGGCTTTCTCTATATTCAATAGAATCTAATCATCGTAGTCCTAAGAAATTACATTTATATATAGATTTAAGCTTTGGAAATTGCTCGAGAATATTAACACTGGGGACTTGATGACTCTTCAGAATTTCCCTGTCTCTAGAGTTTCGTGAATCACTAAATCAAAGTGAAACTGTATCAACCTGTGTATCAGCAGACACTGGGAGTTTGGAAAAATTAGTACGTCTTTTGATCTGTGAAAAGCATGAAAGAGATGTTGAATATGTTTTAAAAATTAAAATTGCTTTTTATAGTACCAGAAGAGCTATCATTCATTGAGTCAGTTTAATAAAATCTCAATATTCTTAAAGTGGAAGAGGAATTGTGAGGGTATTTTTCTCATGCACTCCATAAGACTTTAAAAATTTAACTGTTAAGGAAGGTTTAGAAAAAGCATGGTATTTTTCTATGGTATCAGAATCACTGACTTTTTAATAAGCTTGAAATGGCTCCATATGTATAAAGGATATGATTTATACTCCTTTAAAAAACAATGTTTTTATGGTCAAGAGAAATTAAGATCCTTTGAAAGTAAGCTGATTGACTTTTAGTCAAATCGTACATGTTATAATGCTTGTAAACATATGGCTTGGTAATTAAATGACATCAAAGTGGATACACATTAATAAAAGGTCATTAATAAAGGTTAAAGTCATGCTGAGAATATTAAAACATTCAGAAAAATCTTATCCAGAAATTATAAATAGATTGACTAAAAGAAAAATATTGAACAAAAGCTGGTGCCTGGATATCAGATAAACAATAAACATTTGCATAACTAAATAAAGTTATGATTTTACTATTTTTTTGTACATGGAAATCAGATTTTTTTGATTTTAATATTATACAAGTAGTATTCTTAAACATAAATAGGAAAGTAACTTTGAAATATAGTTGCATTTAAATAACCATGTACAATGATATACAATGTATATCCCACATAAATATTTCTAAACTACTGAAATAGATGTACTTTGCTTTATCCAATTCACATGAATTGCCTCAAAGATAAATATTTAGGTGAGATATTAAAAAAATTTACAGGCATCAAAATAATATTATGTTCTTCTATCATTGCCTCAGTGTAACACTATGGTTTTCTGAATTTTTGGATGCCCATACACCATCTCTTCGAAGGTTCTAGCCTCTCCTTTACTGCAGTCTTATATCAGTATTTACTGATCACTCAGACGTCAGAGTTAGAGATGAAGATGTAATTGCTAGACCTAGCAAGACAGGTCATATTTTTATTCTTATTTTACTTTCTTAAAAATGTAAATTCTTCTAGTAGAAAAAGTAAGGTACAGTCAATATGTTTATCACTTTGACTTTAAAAGAAAATTTTAAAGTAAAGAAAGAGTAACTATAATATCGAAACAAAACTTCCTAAACAAATATATAATTATCATTTTTACCTACTGTTTCAGTGGATCTTCAAATTTCACTGAACCTAAAAACTAAAAAGCTTATTAGTTTTTACAGTATCTCTGAAGATTTAAAACAAACTAAAATGGGTCCATATGGGCTTGTTTAAGAAAACTCACTCTTTTTTTTAGGAGCTCAGTAAGCAAAGGTATTCCAAAATAGGAATGGATAGTGTTAATGAATTGATTCAATTTTGGGGTCATTTTAAAGGTTAGATCAAACGCATAAAAGACACCTAATTTTAGAACAGCAAATGATACAAGGAGGGCAAATGCCTGAAACTGTTTAACTTTGGAAAGTCAGTGCTACTTAATTTATACTCACTGTGTATTTTCATTTTAAAGGATAATGACTGATGTTTTGTTGCTTTCTTTTAAAATTAAATATCATCAGATAAATCATTGAAATTACACTGATTTTATTAAAACCAACAAGAAACAGTCTTTGGGTATAAATCCCGTGCTTGCTTTTTCATTCCTCCTTCCTCCGTCAAGTCGCGTTCACTGAAACATTGCTTCTTTCATTTTCTGCTAGAGTGAATTATTTGCTGTGCTGGGAATTATTAAAAGTTGTTTTTTTGGTTTTGTTATAACTGACGCCTGTTAAATACATTTATGTTCAAATGAAGCCCTGAAAATATTGCTTGTTTGTTTCAGCATAAATTTGGTCGCGGTGCATTCCACTATTATTTGATATTTACAATTTTAAGTTGACGTCAACTATTGTTAAATATTCCTGATGAGATTTTTTACAAAAAAAAATACTAGACATATCAATTAATTCTGTCTAAGTCTTTTTTCGTATGGTCTCCACAGATGAAAAATTATTTTCCTCTGTGTTTATAGGTCTGTAAAAGCTACAGCAGACAGGTCAGCCTCAAAGGGCTTAGGTTGATGGTCAAACCACAACATGGACCAAAACTGCATTGGTCCAGTGGTTGGATCAAGGGCTGGAAAAGAGGTCTCAGAGATTTGAAACTGACTCACTTCACTTCTGTAGTATTGGACAAGTAAAGATGTATCTGACCTTCCTGTGATACAATTTTTCCATCTATTGAGCTGGGATCATAACTTCCCGAGTAACTTGTTGAAATGATTAATGAGCTACTATGCAGATACCACTCTGAACTCTTTCATAAAAAAGCCTCGGTGTGAAATATGAATGAATACTAGCCATAATCCCTACTGTCTGCTGGAAGATGCAAAATACAGTGTGGCTGTGCCATTTCCATTGTTACTATTAGTTACAATGACGATTATAACACTCCCTGATGTAGAGGCAAGTGTTGTGGTTACGTTTTTACCGAAGTGAGTAATAAACCTGGCCTTTCAGTCCCTCGTCTGAGCTGTAATTTAGTTTGGGTACCAGACGCACTAATGCTTAAATAATACCCCGGACTTGTAAAATGCTCCCTTGGCTGAACGTTTTATTCCTGTTTCAAAGAGAGCAGCATTTGCAATTCTTTTATTAGTGCTAACGCTAAAGAAGAAATGGGTTGTGGAAGCAACGTGCACGTTTCCAGTCTGATCAGATATTGCCTTCTGGTTCATTTTCTTAACAAACGGAGGCATTTTTAGTTTCCCCAAAGTGTTTGTGCATGCCAAATGGGAGTCTTCAAATATCATGTAAAATATTTCTTATGACTAAGTTAATGTGTGATTTTTAGAAGACCCACTATTTCTCACACGTTTATAACGCTTTCATGTCTATATAGTAAGTACTTATTTTTGTTAAATATAAGATGAGGTCTTCTATTTTGCATAAATATGTGATTATATAACTCCTGTTTTGCCTGATATATTTTGAAATGAATTACATTTCTTTGTAAGTTTATCATTGTACACGCTATGACTGTGTGTGTACAATTAGGGCCCCAGTGATGCGGGGTTTTTGACACAAGCAGCCTACAGACAAAAGAGCGTTAGCTTTGCTAGAGAAGACAGTGAATTGTCTTCCTTGTGACTGGAGAGGCAGAATTATTCCAAATTGGAGATTCTGCTCGGCGATGAGTAAGTCTCTTCCAGTTTTGCGTTCTGGAACTAGGGAGATAATCGCACGAATGTGACATGATGGGGTCCCAGACCCACTGGACCCGCTGTGACATGGATCTGAGCTAAAACTCCATTGATTGCGTGAGACTCTTGTCTGACCGGGGGGACCACAGTGATGTTCCGCATCTGAAGGAATTAGGGTCCCTTCAGGGTCAAGGGCCAGTAACCGCCCGAAGTCTGGTTACTTCACTTTCCCTGGTGCACGGTCACCTTGGTTAGTAGTTATGTGTCAGATGACTCAAGTTAGACTTCTGTTCACGTGACCTGGCACGATTCCACTTACGCAGATCAGGTCAGAGGTTAGCGGACTGCCCGTGTGCTGGCTCCTAAGGGCACCACCATTGAGCAGACAGCGTCATGATCTGCTTTGAATCAGACTACACTGAATGCTGCTTTGACTCTGCTGTCAGGCGTGGTAGCCGTGCCCACCTTGTCTTTGGCACTAGGACTGCGTCACCCTAGGATCTCATTGTCCCCACTGCACTTAGGGATGTCCGTTGAGGAGGCTGTTCCTACTAAGATTCCGAGCTGCAGTGAAGAGTGACGACCGAGCCATTAACCCTGACCCGACATTCCTCCATCTCTTTCCCCTCTCCTGTTGCCCCGCTGTCAATCAGTTTTATCATCTTGGGATTTGCTCTGCAGTATTCTCATCAGATTTATTTTTTTTGAGGACCACTGCCTAGATTCCAATCTTGAATCTTGAAAGAAGAGAATAGAAATTGTAAATATAAAATTTTAACCCTTTGCAGTGCTTAATCTTTTTGGCTGTCTGTCCACTCATGGTCAGCCCTCTCTCAAATGATTGGAGGATAAGAGTTGACTTTAAATCAATGTTCCAGCCCTTTCCCCTGTAATCTTGGCATAATATCTTCCGTCAGACCACGCGTACAGTTCTTCCCCACACTACGAAGCGGGCAAGGAGCACTGCCCTAGAAAGGAGGTCGCATCCATTCTCTTTCTCATTGCCTTTCTTAGTGAACATTTGATGGAACATGGTGATTAATTGCATAAGCAAATATATGATTTTATTGATGTTTTCAGACTGCTGCAATTCCATTGACAGAAAACAACTAAAGAGATAACCTTATTCTAAAATATGAACAAGTATAATTTTGTGCATTAACCTGACATATTTTGTTTATTTTTTGATTATTTTCTAATTATGATTGTTTAGAAAATGTTACAAATATGAGATTATTTATAAAAAAGAAGTAAAGCAATTATCAAAAGCATATCATACAGAGATAATAATTTTCATATTCTGCTACATTTACATCTATAATATGCACAGATATGTATATATGAGGGTTTATAAAAATATTTTAGCATTGAAAACTGGGTGCACAGACTTTATATATATATATGATTACTTTAAATTTCACATTTTGTGATGAATAAAATCACTTTGGAAAATAATATGTTTTGAAATTCTGTCCCTAACATCATATTTTACTTACTGCTCCCTTTTTGTTGAACTATTATGAAGCTCTGTCTCACTGTTATAAATATTTCTTCAATGACTTCCTTATCTAGATTCCTAGAAGAAAACATACATAGCCAAGGGAATGGAAACATTAAACTTAACTCCCCCCAAAATATATACCTATTTGTGTTACCACATGAACTGTATGAGTTATTTTCCCACATATACACCAGCATTATTTGTTATCTTTTATAGCAAGTTGACGATTTTTATTTTAGTGTTTAATATTTACATCCTTGGCTTTAGTGCTGTAGAATTTTTTGTATTACTGGATTTCTTATCTTGAAATATGGTGTATAAATAGTCCATGGGACTGACAATAATACTAGTTCCCATTGTGTTCTTTCACATTGCTTTTATTTTTTGGAAAGGCCTTCGCATCTTGTGGTAAGGAAACATTTACTATGTTTCGATCATTCCATGTATAATTTTATTTCCATATTCATTTCTTTAATCTACCTAAAACATCCTTTAATAAATCATGTGAAACACAGATCTACCTTGTTTTTTCTCACAAGAGTTGTGATTTTTCCAGTGTATTTTACCATGTTAATGTGAAGTTTTCATACATCCACATCAGTTCTGTGCTTTCTGTATTTTTCCTGGGGGTTCACTTTCTGTTCTTGTATCAGAATCACATTTTCACATTGTTATAGTTTAATTTTTAAATTTTTTATAAGTGTGTCTTTATTCCTACTGCTAAATTCCATATACATGTTTTAATTTTCTTGTTTATTCTTTGCTATTTTAATTTGAAATAAAATTTTGCATCTTCCTTTGTCTTTCTCTCTCTCTTTTTTTTCTTTTCCAGAACACACACACACACATGCTTACACACATACACACAGTACTTTGACTGGATTATGTGGATTGACGAATTCACTTGAAAATGATTAAAATCTGTTTGTTGTCAAAAGGAAAGTTATTGATTTTATGGCATAAAAAAGGCTTAGAGCTTCATTTATATTATCTATTTCTTACATCCCCTGTAAACATGACCTGATTTGTTTATTATTAAGATTCTAATATGTATATAACAACATTTGTGTGGATATGCATACATAATTATTATCAACATTTTGAACAAATCCATTAATTTCAGTAGATTAAGTTAATTTCTTTAAAATTTCTAGTTTAAAAATAATTTTGTAAACAAAAAAATGTGTTGACTTTCTAATAGCTACATCTATTATTTAATTTTTTCCTATATTCCATTGGCTAAGTCTTCTAGACTAATGTTACTTAATTATGGTGATATAGAATATTTTTGTTTGTTTCTGAGTTTAATGCAGGCTGTCTCCTGTGGTTTTGTGTATTTTATTACTATAGTTATTCATTCACTTATTTATTCAAAAAATGTATTGCATACCTACATTAGTAGCTGTTAAGACAGGACCCAGTGCTGTGTTTACAACAGTGGGCAAGATAATCTGTTTTAGGTAAAAATTTCTTTATCCCATTTTTCATACCTAGTCTCATTTATAAATATGCATTTATCAAGGTGGGCATCAAGTATGGCTAAATTACATTTTGGCATTTTGTTTTTCTCGTTTTGTGAGTTCTTTTTTTCCCACCTTTTAGTTATTGATTTTTATGAATTACATTTTGGTTTTCTAATGTGAAATGTTATTTGCATTTCTGGAACACATTGTAGTTGCTTCTTTCATAATATTTTTTCTAGAGTGAATCTCATTGTGTTTACTTTTATTTCACTTTCCATTTTTAAATCACTCTTAAGGGGTGGGACTCAATATTATGCTCTATTAATCAGTTGAATTATATTTATTGATTATCCTTTTCTAGCTCTGAAATGGTGCCCATTTTGAATATCATACTGAAAAAATAGTATTAATTTTATCCAGATTTGTTCCTTTGGGGGTCTTTGAATCAAAATGTTGAATTAGAGTTTCTAGAAAAATACCCTTTTCATTGAAAACATAGCATGTATAATGACTTATTTTATGTAATAAAATAAGTTTTTCTAAAACATCTCCTCTAGTCAATAAATATTCATCCAATCACTATGGGCCACTATACTAGAAAGTGTAAATGAGGCAGGTGAGTTTTATATATTCTTATAATCCAGAATAAAAATCATTAACATATCAGATATAGTTTTTCCTTAAGATTTTAAATTCCTTAAAGATACAAAATGTATCCAGTCATACTTTTTGTATTTTGGTTTTGTTAATTTATTCTCGTTCGTCATTGCTGAAGGCTTTCAGTTTTATTGATTTTTTTAAAAAGAACTCAAGGGGAATTATCTTTAAGTTAAAGCGAATTATATCACCATCCCACTTCCCAAGGTATAATGTCACCTAAGTCTGAGTGGACCCCTCCACCAGCAGGCTATATGGCGTTCAAAGTTTTGTCACCTTTTCATTCTCACCTTACCTTTCACTTCCTTATGTACCCGAATTCTTTCTTTGATCTAGACCAGGAGTCAGGAGAATATTTCTGGAAAGGACTAGATAGTAAATATTTTAGACTTTGCAGACCACACACTCTCCGTCACAACTACTTCATTCTGCCATTACAGCATAAAAGCAACTGTAACAAATATGCAAAGAAACAGCACATCTGTGACCCAATACAACCCTATTTACAGAAACAGGCAATGG